CAAACCATGCACTAAAAAATAAAACTTCTGTCTTATTCTGATTTTTTTTTTGTTGGTGTTGTTATTTATCAAATGGAAAATAAATGAAAGGGAAAAGAGAGACAAGGAAGTTGAACAGCTTTGAGCTCTGGATATAAGCCCAGTAGGCTAACAGGGTATTATACAGTTGGGTTTAGTTCAGCAAAAACCAGGACATTCTATGAGAACTAGGTGAATAATTTGCAATTAGTAATTTGGGACATAAAAATCCAGGTTATTTTCAAACATGCAGCTTTACAGGGCGAATGCCCTCCTCTGCTTGTGGCTGCTAGCAAAGCACAGCGTGCTCTGATCAGGGCTTTCACTGCCTGGAATTGTAGATTTTGTAGCAAAATTACTTTTGATCTGCAAATGTGTAATTCCTGTGTGAATGTTTATCACTCTTGCTCATGCAAAGGATGCTCCAGTGCGTCCCTTGTCCTGTGCAAGGCACCATCCCTTGCCTGGTGTCTTGTACAGGACAAGGGATGCACTGGAGTTTGTGAAGGGATCAGGTCCTGTGATCCAGGAGCAGCTCCATTGGGTTGCCCTGCATGAAATAGTTTCAATTTTTATACATCAGCACAACCCACAGTCACTGAAACCACTCTGTGAGTCTGCAGGTACCAACCACGAGAGCCCTGCTGGGTGCTCAGGACAATCCCAGGCCAGGGAACATCATCCTGCTTGGCTTCAGGGTCACTGCACACAGAGCAGTCCTGAAATCCTTTTTGGGATCTCCTTGTCCCATCCAGAGTCATTGTGGGTGGGTTTGCACACCCCAGGAAATACAAGGTGTGAAGAGCAATTCTTGATCCCTGGATTTGGATTATGGATGAGAGCTCTCCAGGGAACTCACTTGAATTGATGCATCTTTTGTGAAAAGCCTCTGGATTTGTAGCATTATGTGAGAGCAGGAGAAAGACTCACTGTGCTGAAATTAGGGCTGCAGGATCTGCTGCACCAGCAGGGTCAGCTCTGTTGCAGGATTTTAAAATTTTAAAAGACCTTTTTTGGGGGCTCAAAGCACAGCAGCCATCCTGTCTGGCTAATCACAGCACTGCAGACCCTCCTCAGGTGGGTCTGGCAGGAAGGTGTCCCAGGAAATCAGCCTGATGTCCCCACTCAGATGTGCCTCAGAGGTGCCACAGCATTGCTGCACTCCCCAGAGCGGCTGCACCTGAGCAGCACCAACCTCTCCCCAAGGAGATTCCCCAGCTGTGCCCTGCCCCACGTGGAGCAGGGGCTGAGCATCCCAGAGAGCACAAATCCATGGATCCTGCCACAGAAACCTCTCCCAAGGTCAATCCCCACACACCACGCAGCACAGTGGAGCCTCCTGGGACCCCCAAGACTAAAAAAGTTTGAAATTCAGCTCTAAAAATGCATACAGCCAGCAAGGTGCCTCCTTGACACCTGGTTGTCACCTGGAAATAGCACACGAGGGGTCTTGTAAGGGCTTTATTTTCCCTGTGTTTGAACCCCCTCAGTGCTGGCAGCTCCCTCTGTGTCTTCCTGAGTCCTGAATGTGCAGAAGGAATTGCAGGAGACACTTCCACATCTCTGTGTGATGGAGTTATCCTCCTTCCACTAAATAAATGCTCACTTGTGCACTTCTAGCCTGTATCTGAACAGGAGGCACTGTGTGCCCGACTCTTTCAATTTTTCATCCTCCTGGAGGAAAAAATATGAGAGGAAAAGCCTAAAAATTAAAAAAAGACAGAGTGAACAGCTATACCTAACACCTTTTTCAGCACAATCCACCCAATTATTTTCCTTTCTCTGGCTATTTTAGTTTTAAAGCTTCCTCCAAATGTAGGTCCCAGGTCAGCAGGGCATTAAGGCACCCCTGAAGTACTTTGACTTTAAAAGATATCTCATGGAAAGGCCACTAATCATCTCTTGCATCTCTAACTAAAGATACAGCATTTTATCTGGGATCCTGAGTGTGCCTATAAATACCAGGCAGGGAAATGCTCAATCCATTAGAGAAACAGGTAACCTAAATCATGGAGCAGGCTGGGGTTAACCTTTGTCCTGGGAGGGAGCTGGACCAAAATCTGTGCAGGGCAGGATGTCCAGGTGATGTTACAGTGCAAACAGCACAAAAGGTGTTCCCATAAAGATGTCCAGAATAACCCCATCTTCTCCATGCTGTCTCACAGCCCATGGGCCTCTCCTGTGATGGCTGATCCAGAGGTGTGAGGGTACAGGAAACATCTGGAGGAGATCTTTCAGAAAATAAGATGGGCAAAAGCCTCTTTCTCATCCCTGTTGCTGCTGGATGAGTGACCACAGTGAAGAGAGAGCAGGTGATCTGTTTGCCATTGCACTGTACCTGCATCACAGGTGTACAGCTAAATTCAAAACTCCATGGCATTTCCAACCTTTTAATTTTGGCCAGCATTTTCCTTGCTTTTTATTATCCCAAGACCAATTTTTTTTCAAGGCAAATTTTTTTCAAGACGAAATTTTTATATTTTATTATCCCAAGACCAAATTTTTTTCAAGGAAAACATCTACCAGAGCCTCAAATCAGCCTTTTGTGAAGCAGAGTGGGCTGTGGGTTGGGGTGAACACGTCTCCCTTGTTCCCCAAGCCCAGCTGGGGTCCCTGTGCACCCCAGGACAGATGCTCACCTGCAGAGAATGTTCTCAGGAATGTGCAGGCAGGGACAACGCCAGCCCATAGAGCAGGAACACTGCTGCATGTGTTATTAGAGTCATTTGTTGTGGTTAGTGAGCAAAACCACCCAAGCTCATTTCTGTTCCATTAGAGGGAGGGAAAAAAAAAATAAGGGAATAGAATAACTCATTTCAAGGTAATTTGCTGGGGATTTTGTGTATGATCAAGAGGGTTGTAAAAAGTGGGAATACTTGCAAAAGTTTGATATGGCTTTTGAGAGAAAAGCAGCACAAACTTATCAAACATGGACAAAGTGAGACCAAAGTGGGTGCTTTCAATGCATTTTGCCTGTCTACAGATGGCAAACCACCCCACTCTGCTCTGTCCAGCCCACAGCTGCTTTTCTGGATGGTTTGACGAATTTTTGGTGAAATCTCAGAGGAATGTCACTGCACTGGCTGGCGCTCCTTGGGCAAGGGTTTGATCCTAAGGTTGGGCACATGCAGGGTGTGATCCTCCTCTGTGATCAGCCACCACATGGACCTGATTCTTTTCTCTGCTCCCCACTTCTCTGGGGAAGTGAGAGAAGATCCACAGTGGGCAAGGACCCCTTCCCATGGGACACAGAGCACAAGGAGTCCCTCCAAACTTGGAGATAAAATCCCAAACCAGCACCAAAAGCCAGCCCATAAAGCACTGGCTGCTCTCAGAGGCAGACTGGAGATTTCTCCTGCTAATTATAAAAATGGCAGACAAAACCCTGCACGATATGATTTCTTACATTAAACAAATTTTATGGTGGAGGAGACTTTTAGTGGCACTATTTGCAGACCTGGCCTTTTGCCAGCTCGCTGTCATTAATTCTGCTGATCTTAAGTATCAGCTGCACTTATTCCAAGGGGCTATAAATAAACCCCTGAAGCCTATTAAAGGAGCCAGCTTCCTCAGGCTGTCTGTCGAGCCTGGACAGACTGACATGGGCAGTGTTCAGGCAGCTCTGGCCAGTGCTGAGCATGGCTGGGTTCAGGCCTTTCACATGCTCACAGATTTATCTTTCACATTGCTGGGAACAAGGAACTTTTTTATTAAAAGAAAACCTCACTCCAGGCAGGCAACAAATTAGGTTTGGGAAAATCCTTGACCACATGCCTGAAGCTTGGAAGTGTTTGACTTTCCCTAGCTGGAAGGGTTAAAAATGAACAGGAGATTGGGAAAGGAGAAGAACTGGAGCTGATATTTTATAAGACAAGGAGGTGTTTTAATGTAAGATAGGGAGAATTCACCACTGCCAGAATATTTATCAGTCACACCTGCGCACAGGGTTGGGACCATTCTGGCTCTTCTCTGGGATTTCCAGGTAAAATTCCAGGCTATGGGTGCATCCCATCACCCCGAGGAGCCCATGGGCTGCAGGCAGGATGCTCCAGGACGCAGCAGCCATGCTCTGCCTCTCTGGTGCAGCTCCTATGAAAAATGGGTGGCAGTACTAATGTGTGCCTAATGACCCGTGGTGCAGAAATGACTACGATGCAGGAATTAAATTTACAATCAACTTCCTTTTTTCTGTTTTTTTTTTTTTTGTCTTTTTTTTTCCCCTTGAAACCAAAGTTCCTAATCAGAAAAGTCCATGTGAGTGGCTCTGTGCTCCCAGGCAGGGCAGGTGACTCAGGCAGCAGCAGGATTAGAGCTGGGTGCTGTCATCGTGCCAGGCGTGACACGGGGCTGCATCAGTGGCAGGGTAAATTGATGACACAATCTCAGGAGAGCTCACTGGTTGATGCCAGGCTTATTTTTGTAAGTGCAAACTAATGAAATTTAGAGTTTTAACAGAAAAAAAAAAAAAAGGAAAGAAAAAAGTGGAAGCTACAATTTATAAATGGAATTTATAATGGACCAGAGTGCCAATTGCATTAAGGAAACAAGCAGCTCAGGCTTTTACCCAGAAGAGCCCCCAGGGTTTTTTTTAGCAAGAGGCAGGGAGTCCCAGTTTGTCCCAGTGAAGCTCCTGGCTCCATCTTTCCTGGGCTCAAACAGGGGGAAATCACCATGAGGGGTTTGGCATGATGCTTGTCCTGGAGCAGGCACTGACCTCTACTACAGACAATTTCTCCCTTTCCCTTTCCCATTCCCACACCACTCAGAGACCTTGCTCTTCATATTCTGAATTTTAAAAGGGAGCAACAAAATTGTTTAAAAGGCAGTGAAAAGGATGGAAATGCAACCATAAACCCACAGCAGAGGCATCCCAGAAAACGGAGGTGAGTATCCAGAAGGAGATAAAAAGACATGTCCCAAAAGGAAGGATGTGCAGTTCAGAGTAAGCAGGAGGCTTTTTGTAGCTTTTTTTTATTTTACAGACTTTGTGCTCTCTTCTCCTGAGCTTCATCACCTCTCTACTCACAGATTTGGCCCTAAACACTCTGATGGATTAAAGAAGATGAAGGGGCTATTTTCAAGAGTGGGAATGGGCACATCCTCAGGCACGGAGCCTGGGTACAGCCAAATCTAGACAACTGCTGTGGGTTGGTTATTTCCAACATGAACAATTCTGATCCTATGAGTCTGTGGCTCTGGGATTCTGTGTTATGGGCTCAACACAGCTTGTCCTGAGCTGGATTCAAGCCAACACAACCTTGGAGCACAGGCCAAAGGCAGAAGATGAGGAGGTGAGAGGAAACCTTCAGATCTCGAGCCACAAGAAAAACTCTACCGAGCCAGCAGTTTGTGCTGGTGACCCTTCTGGAAGGAGGGAACTTGTAGTGGATGAGCAGGAAGAGGCACCGGGGAGTGTGAAGAAGCAAGAAAAGAATGTTCCAGCATCCATTCCTACCCCTTGCCCAAGTAAGGAATGAAGCAATGGAGAAAAGAGCTGATGAACACACCATCAGAAGAGAGTAGAAGAACATTAATTGGCTGTACAGCAGTCTGAGCAATATGAAAAACTGGGAACGACTAATTTATGAGTACAGATTCTTTCTGGAGAGTATGACTTAAACTTGGGGAGAAAATCCATGTGCCTGGAATATTAAAATCAATAGTTTTAACCTATTTAGAAAGAATTCAGTGGGCAAATGCACAGGAGGGTTAATCAATATCAGAATTGACATTGGTGCATTCCAAGCACCACAAGAAAACTGAAGAGAAAGTGACCTCAAATACAAATAAAAACCAAAATAAGGAGTTTCTCCAGACCACCAACTCTCACTAGAAAACAGAAATTACTCACTTTTCAGTCACATATCTGTAATATTTAAGAAAATTTCCCTGTGCTGTCCTGGGGAACTTCAACTCAAACGATGTGAGCTGCAGAGGTCATAGGGCTGGTTTGGGATTTTCTGAATGTCCTAGAAGAGATTTTCCTAACCAAAACCAGGAGGATCCTCGACAGGATCATCCTGAAAGCTGCAGGACTGTTTACAGACCCCAAAAGGGGCTCAGCCAGCACAGAGGTGACCCTGTTTGATTGTACATGCTGGGCACAGACAGGACAGCCTGAGCTGACAGTGGGTCCCTCTGCTTTTCAGTGTTGTGAGCCAGGTCACCTGCAGGATTTTAAACAGAAAATGTGAGTGATATTTGGCAACCCCTTGTTTAAAGAAGATCTGGCTTCTAGGAAATCTAGTAAAACCTCACAGTTGGGAAAGAGAAGGTTATTCTGGCTGAAAAATGAAGCTCAAAGGACAGTGAAAGTAGGTGAACTCCCAGAAAGAAGGAAGGGAAAGTAAATAATAACGAACATAAATCAGCCCCAAGCAGAAGGCTGTCAGGTGAAACCTGTGGCTAGCAGAGCTGAGGGCAACAGGGATGTGCTCTTTAGATATAAGAGACTCAAAGTAGTTGTCTAGACAGAATAGCAGACATTAAAAAAAGAATACATAAAAGGCCGATGCTAAATATTTAATTTCACTATTTTTGGGGGAAAAAAAAGCTGAGTGAAATAGCCATGTAATATGATGATGTGAAATATCTTCTGCTCCAACTCAGGATGCTAAACAGCTGTTACTACAGCTAGAGGATTTTTATTTTTGATCAGCAGCTCCCAATATTCAGTGCCTGAGAGTTTTAAAATCTGTCCCAGGAGCGCCCCAGGCTGGCACAGAGTTTTCCAGAAGACTGAAGCAGTGTTGACTTTGAGCCAAGGAATAAATGTCGATGAGGAGGATGACTTGCGTAATTATAAATCTGATTGTTTGATGTTGATTTTGTGGGGAAAAAAAAAATAATGGAAGAGCTGATAAGGGACTTGATTAATAACAATTTAAGGAGAATAACTAATTACAATCAACATGAGTTAATGGAAAATAGATCTTATTAAATGAAATTGATATAATTTTTCAAGAATGTGATTATAGATTTGATTGATTTAGTACATTTCATCAACACTGTTACGTTTGACTTCAGCGAGGCATTTAACTTAATGTTGTCTCATTTATTAGGAAGCTAAAACAATGTAAAATCAACACAGCCCGTGCTAAACGGATGAGGACCCTGGTGATAGGTTTAGACATATCTGAGGAGCATCCCAAGCAGCCTCCTTTCTGTTCATCACTTTCAGCAAACGGTAGAAAATCAAAACTCATTACAGTCAAAGTTTGCTGATGAGATTGGGAGTGTGGATGGGTCTGTGCCTCAGAGCTGCTCCTGAACCAGAGGGAAGTGAGCTCCACCTGGTTTGACACAAAGCCACACTTCCAGGAGCCAGGATTTCACTGCAGGGAGCACAGATCCTCCCGCACAGCGCTGGAAACTTGATAAAACAGCAGAGTGAAATATCTCTGGTGCAACAGCTAATGGGACAGTGCAGCTATTTGTGGTGCCTGCGACTCCAGAAGGATGGTGATGAACGGGAGAGGGCACACGGGAATGACTGAGGCGTCACAAAACATGCCTTGCAGTGACAGCCTCAAGGACCCCAATGTGCTTAGCTTAACAAAGGGAAGGTTAAGAGATGGCTTAATGACAATCCAGATGTATTCAGACAGGGTACAGGGATGCAGGGAGGGAGAGCCCTTCAATCTAACAGACAGAGTGATAAAAAGAGCTGGTGACTGAAAGCTGACGCTGTTAAATTCCATCTGGGAAGGGTGTGCTTTATGTTTGGGAGAAATAACACCAGAACAACTTCCCAACAGATGGTTTCATCATCACTGCCCATTTCAAACTCATGCTGATTTTTTTCCTTTTTTTTTTGTAAGCCATATCCTGGATCCACCAAAAATCACTGTGAAACAACACACAGGCACTCACACTGCATGAATGGGATGGGCCTTTTTAGGGGGTTTAACCTTCCTAATAATGAGTATTTAAGCCATCATCAAGCACTCAAGCACTGAATGGAACCATTCCCTTTCCCCACAGTTATTGGTCTGGCCTTGGTGGGCACTCATGCAGACACCTCAGGGCTATTGGTGCTTCATCTTTGCCAATGCAGAAGCTGGAAAAGTCCTCTAAAACTCCATAAAACAAGCCCAGCAATTCCCCTGCTATAAAAATACCCCAAAATGCAGTGCCAAATGCAGTGCCAGAGGGAAAAGCTCACAGCTCAAAGCACATGAAGAACGTGCATTCCAGTGGTTCAGTAAAATCCTGCTGATCCCCATCTGCTGCCATAGCTTGATGGACTTTTAGGAAAATGGCACATCTCTGTTCCTTAAGAATTGCTAAAATTGTGAGTGGAAAAGGTGCAGTTTCATAACAGACTCATCTACACCCAGGACAACAGAGAATGAGAGAGTGCTGCAATCTTGGGGACTTTCTGCAGGAGCTCCATCAGGTCTCTGCTCTCTGGTTTGGAAGCTGCTGAAATTTCCCCTTCCATGGAAATTATTCAGCAGAAGTCCCAGCTACAGATCCCTCAATCAGGAAACTCCAGGAGCCACACAGGGACTTCTCCTGGGACTGGTCTGAAACACCCAGCTGATGTTTTACTGTGCATTCAGATGTACTTGGGGACCAAACAGGTATAAATGTATATATATATATATAATTTTTTTTTCTTTGGATACTAGGCCATTGTATCTGTGTTTTAAGCTCAGAAAACAGTGTCACAAAAAAAGTTTTCCTTCCAAAGAAATACTGTGATTGGTAGGAATGATTAGATAAGAGCTGATACCAAAAAACTTGACAACTAAAGTTGTTTCATAATTGATTTCTATATATGGGACTTTATCTTCTGGTGAGGTCTTTACCTTTAAAAGCAGGTCTGTACCTTACAGAAAGGATAGAAAAGAGAGGTCATTTGCTATCTTATCTTGTAATGAGATCAGCAAAGAAAGACTTTTAAGGCCCTCCACAGCTTATTCATGATATCAGTGTGGTTCTTCAATTGCAGAATCAATCCAGGTGTAAACTGGGATGCTGGGACCTTGTCTCTTCCCTTCTGCCTACACCAAAGAGCATCTGGGACCATATCTGTGGGTCCTGAGCTGTGCTGGATTTACCTCTGGCATGATCCAAGCCATTGCTGCTGTCCCCACCAGCTGCCGCCTCTCTGCTGCTGTCACCACAGTTGATAATCCAGGTTATCAGTGAGTGGGGAAGGGGCAGCACTGCAGGACATGGTCCACCACAGTCACTAACCCCTCTCCCCACCCCTCTGTGCCTCCTGCTCCGGGCAGAGACCATCACCCAGAAACTTCTTCAGTAGTTTCAATTCAGTCTGCCAGAGCCCTTTGCTCCTAATGCCATTTAATCCAGTTCCTTGTTAGCCAGCCAATAAGACTTTCACTGATATCAGGTTTTGGCCCAAGAACAGTGCAGATCCTTTTGAACTGAACATCTTAAGCACAACACATTTTGTCAGGAAAAAAAGCCTGAACCAGCAGAAACTCTTTTAAAGCCAGGGCAGCATCATTACCATAGAGGCAAACACTAATTTAATGTGTTCACAGTAACAACACACCATTTATTTAAATACTTCACCCTTTAATTTATTCAGCATTTTATATTGAAGAGTATTTTCATTAGGATTCCTCTGCAAAACCGAAGAAGGCATTAAATCATTTAATATACTGACAACTTGCTTAATTTATTTAAGCACAGGAGTCTAATTCAAAAAAGCCAGACCTTATACAGAGGCCTGTCTTTGCAGCCCTGGCATACAACAGCCTATTAATTTCAGGGTAGTGCATTACATGAATTTATTTTGAGATCCCAGGACGTGTTCTCCTCTGGTCAGCAGCCTGCTGTGGGGCTGCACCTGCCAGAGCTGCCTTTAGGAATTCCTCCCAGCGCACACCAGTCCTGCCCCGTGCCTTTTGCTTCTGGTGAGCACCCAGCCCTTTGCATTTGTCACCTGGCTGGGTTTGGTCCTTGGTGTGACACAGAGCGACCAGCACGGCTGGAGCAGCAGGGAAACAGAGGAAATCAGCAACACTGGGGGCATCAGTGATATCTTCAGTTTAACTCTCATTAAATGGCACTCAGAGCACTTGGTAAAGTCTGGGGGATCCACTGCAGTGCACCCCTGACTTGGCTGATATTGAATTAAGCAGGGACACTCATTTCTGTGGTGAGATCCCAGCAGCCCTGCCCTGAAGGTGCTGAGCAGCCTCAGGACTGTCCCCAGTTGTCACATCAGAGCTCTCACACCCTGCCTGCAGCAAATACTCCACTTGATATTCTGGGGGCTCATCTCCTTGGGCAATCCAGCCCTTGTGGCTTATTACTGATGTCCCCAGATGTGCCATAACGAATGGCAGAGAAGAAAATTGTCACCTGTGACAAAGCTCTGGGTGATATTGGGGTCCCCAGTGGCTCCTGGCTTGGCTGCTTTCTGAGATTGGTGCTGAAGCAGAACCTGGGAAACAATAGCACATTCTCAATAGGATGCAGAGGGTGACATTAATAAACATTAGGGGGTTTGATATGATCAGGCAAAAGCAGCACAACGAAATGAGGTACCAAAAGCAGGCTGGAGAGGAGGGGAAGGCACCTGAACAGGGTGTTTAATGACTCACCCAGCTGAGAAATGCAGCGCAGGGCAAGGCTGGGAGAGAAAACCTTTTAATGAATTCAACATGTGTGCACCCTTTGAAGGCTCAGCTCCCCATTCCCCACTGGTGTTTGACCCACCTGAAGATATGGATCACACAGAAAATAATAACCAGTAAGTAATAATAATAATAGTAATAATAGGAAGAGCAGGACCTTCATCTCCAATTCATATTTATAATCCAGCAAATATCTCACCTAAAGCCACAAGATTTATGGGTTTGCATCTATAACTAATATCCTTCCTTAAGCAGGAAAGGGTATGTGTTCCTACAAATAAATCTGGTGCTCTAGACCTGGATTTTGAAGACTAATATTTAAATCCCCAGCAAGACACAGTTATTGATTGCATAGATGTATACAACAAAGACACACCGTGCACATTTAGAGAGATAGCATTGTACAGCTATTTTAAAAAGAAATAAAGTTTCTCTTTTAAATGCAATAGATTAAGCTTAATCAGGTAAAAAAAGGAGGAAGGTTGGCTTGGTGTCTGCTCCAAGCTGTCCCAATTTCCCAGAGATTTCATTTGCATCAGGCCCTAGCTAAAAGCAGGGCTGGTCCTGGGCGCCAATACACATAAAGGGCTTTGAGACAAAGGTAATCGATTTGGTTTTACTGTTATGAGGAAAATAAACAGTCAGGCTGATATAACAGTAAAAGGGTCAAACAGGGTCAGGGCTAATGAAGTGACTTACAGCAGGTTGGAATTAAAACACCCTCCCTTTTCTCCATCCTCCCCTCCAGGAGTGATCCCTGTGAATGCCCAAAATCACACCTGTGGGTGACAGCAAAGCACCAGCTAAGGGTCATTCGGGGCTGGGCAGTGGACTTGCTTTAGCTGAGGGTTTTAATGGCCAGCAGCACCCTCTGAGCTATGGAAAACTCCAACCAAGGCAAGCCCTGCCCTTCAGCTCCACATCATGGACCACAGCCACTGCACATAGTCAGGGAGGCTCAAAGGTGCCCAGAATCATCACTCCAGAGCTGAACTGGCACTTTCACTGGTGGTTGGAGGGTCCCTTTTTCCTCAGGGGTTTCTTTTCACTTTTGGAGTTGTAATGAGCAAAGTGGGAATGTGCTGGGTAAGGAGCCAAACCTAGGAAAATACAGCTTCTCTGGAGCAAGCATGGATGGATATAGCTGAAAAAATACTGAGAATTACTGGAAATTTAAATGTAGGCACTCAACCAAGGTCAAGGGTGGAAGCATCACCTCACTTAGAGGTGAACTTACCAATAGAGGTAAAACATTTCTGCTCTGTATCTAAAGAGTAAAGACAGGAACAGAGCCCAGACACTTGTATTTATACTGTCCTAAGGCATATAACACCCCCATTTAATGGAGATTTTAGTTAGTCATGTTTAAATACTATTAATAAAAAAAATTAAAAAAGCTTTTATGCACTCAGTCATTTAAGGAACTCATCAGTGACTGCATGTGAAAGACTCATTCAAACCTCATGAGAAAAGAGTTTCTTGTCTCCACATTATGGGCTCCCAGAAGGGAGATTATACCCAGGGGAAGGAAGGAATTGGCAATAACAGTTGGGTGGTGCCACAAAGGGGTGGTGAGCCCCCAGGCTGGCTGGCTTTGGGGAGTCAGCTCCATCACCCATAGACTGGAGATGGTCCTTCCCCCAAATGTTACTTTCAAGTGTCACAAATCCTCTGTGGGAGGAGGGAAAAGAAAAAGCAAAAGAAGCCTTCTGGTGAGCACTGTGCTGCTCCAAAACCTGGTGACCATAGAGAAGCTTTCCCTACAGACATGCTGTCCAATGCACACCCTCATGGTTTTTATGTCCATGCAGAACATGGGCTGTGGGTGCCCAGACACTGCTCTTCTCTGCAGCTCTGAAAAGGAAAGAAATTCATGAATGTTGCTCTGCAAGGCCAAGTACCAGCAGCACAAGGGCTTGGGAAGCTGCAACCAGTGTGGGGTACTCAGCCAAGGCAGAGCTTTTTTGCAACTTGGTTTTCATGATTTAGCATTCCTGCTGTAAATAATTGATACTAATGTAAGTGAGATAAGAGACAGACTGTCTGTGGGCTGGGAGGAAGTGGATCCTGGTGACATCCACCTGGAAATGTGCTTGCGGATTTGTCTGAAATTAAAACGTTGAAAAGCCAAACACAATGTCCGAGAGGTGGGGAGGGAGCAGGGGTGGGAAAGGTAATCAGTGCTCAGCCCCAGCACTCTCATCTCTCTAAAGAAAAGCTACCACTAATAATTTCCCTAATAAGAGAATTCCTGCACTAACTAGCACTTCCTCTCTCCCTGAACATGGTTCTCACACTAGTCTATAAGCTGTGTTCCTGCATTGCCAGGGAGCTGGGTGGGTGTTAGCACAATTTAAGGAATTAAAATGTCATTAAGGGGGTGCATGGAGCACAGCCTTCCTCGTCGGACACCATGCCAGCAGGAAAATGCCAGTGAGCTCAGCGTATCTGATGCCTTTGGCTTAGGTTATCTACAACCAGCTGAGTACCAGGAAGGAGCTCTCCTGAATCTCAGGCTTTGAAACTGGAGAAGGCAGAATTATATCTCTGGTCCTGCGAGGGCGGCTGTGAGACGGGCGATGGAGACAATCCTGCTGGGTGGGGAAGGGGAGATTTCCCTGCTGGGAACCTTGGAACCCAGCATGGCCCCAGGACCATTACACCATATCCATTTCTAAATCCTGATGTGGAGGCTGCTATTGGCATTTCACATCCTCTGAGGAGTCTGTGCCCGGCGGCAAACCGACATTCACTTCCCCCCGCATGACATAATGCCTGTTTTCATCCTGTCTAGTGGATATTAAAAAAGATAATGTCTGCTGAAAAAAAAATTAAAATGACATCACTATTGAGCCACTTTACAGCTCTCTGTTTCTGTCTCTCGTGTGTCTCCATCTTCACATCCCACCTGTGCTGCCTGTTGCTCATCAGCCCAAGGACCATCCTGTGGCCACTGCACAAGGTATGTGTGCCTGATGGTTTTAATTTGCTGGAGGATTCAAGTGCCAAAGTGAAAGGAATTTCCCAAGGCAATTCCTTCATTTTAAACCCCTGTAAACATAGGGAAGGTCCCTCATGTCCTCTGTCTCCCATGCCTACAGCAGGCAGCTTGTTGTACTCCTCTCCTGAAGGCCATACCTTTACACATTACTCTGGTGAGCACATATTCAGGGCTCTAAATTTGTTTTAAAATACACTTCTTAATCTAGAGATTTCATGCAGAAAGGAAAAAAAAAGAGGAGAAAAAAGCTGCTTTGGAAATGTTAGGAAGGAGCAGCACTGACTCATCAGTGATATGAATGGGGAAAGCCAGAGGGACCTTCTCATCTCTAATGTGATTTTATGATTCAGTGAATAATGCATATTAGCATAATACTAACTAAAAAAATCCATACTCATCATAGAATCACAGCTATCAACATTATCCTATTATTAATTATTAACATTTACACTATCAATCAGCCCCTGGCTGACTGATAGCTTAAAATCTTGCATAAAGATTGTTACAACAATAGCCACAGTACATCACGTAATGTGCTTCACAGTCGGGTTGTCATATCCTCATCTATAAAGCTTTTTACTAATGCACTTTACAACATATCTTACAGTACATGGATGAAGAATGTGGCTGCACCCAGTAATAATTCCATTAATTATGAATAAAGCATTTACAAATGACATCCTTATTTAAAATTAGTGATGAACACATTTGGGTTTAATGCAGATGCACTGTGTAATTTGTAATTGGATAAAAAGCAATGCTGGCAACATGGGGTAGGGAAAAAGGGCCAAGATCTTATGGTCTTTGCATCAGCAAGGAAAGAGGAGAAAAAACAGTGGAGGAAATGATTGACAAACAACAAAACATTGGCATAAAGCTCACCAAACTCCAAGGTGATGCTTGAAAGCAATGATTAAAGGTGCCCTGCAGAGCAGAAAGGGAAAAATCCTTACCCACTGACCTTGCATTGCAGTTGTGTTAATAAAACTCACTCCTGTATTAATAAAGTCTATATTTTCATTGCTTTCTCTCATTTCAGTGTTTTCAGCTGGCTGGCAGCTCACCAAGACTCGTTAGCCACATCCAGTTTGCCTTTGCAGTACCTTGGTACCGCTTTGTCCTGTAGGCTCTCGGGGATGGCAGAATATTTATTACATACAATATTTCACTGAGGCTACTTACGTCAAGAGGCTATAAATACATTACTCTTCCTGGTTTACTTAAGGGATAAAAAGTGAGTAGCTAAGTTTACAGAGCAGGCTCAGGCTCTATTAATGTGTGGTCTGTTCATTTTCATATAGATCTCAATTGTTTGAAATTGTTTTCCAGATTAATCCAGTGAGTGATTCTTGCCTTGCTGATCATCTCCAAGCATTGCTGGTCTATTTGTGCGGTGGTCATATCGGGTTATTCCATGTATTGTGGAAGAAAGGTTAATTTAAACTCATCAAGCTTTTTGGTAATAAAGTAGTGAATATTTATGTGTTCATAGTTTTCTGCTGAGAGCCTTGTGCCAAGAACTTCTTACACTGAGGTTCAACTATTTCAATACGTCCCAACTGGGGAGGCAAAAATCCCATCAGCCCACTTCTGGCCACAGAGGTGGGGGGACAGGAACTTTGGTAGCCAGGAGAAAGTCAGCAAACTCCTTTTAATTACTTTTCTCCTGAATTTTCCCAGTGTTTACAGCAAAGTGCCTGGATAATGCACAGGCCGTGGTGTTGTGTGTCTGTCTGTTAGCACAGAGCCAGAGCTTGCATGGTGCTCGGTGCTGAGGGTGGTGCAAGGTTCTGCAGACTCAGAGAAAACAGACCTGGATCCATCACATAAAGTTAAGGGGGAAAATTGCCTGGGGAGGGACCTGGTTTTGGTTCAGGCAGAATCTTTCTGCAGGTTTTCCAAGGAGATGAGATTTCAAGCCAGAGCCAAGCCGGGCAGGAATTCTGTCTGAATTATTTTCACATTCCCTTTTAATGTCCCATCCATGGGTGATACCTAGTGCAGAGCATGACACCTGACATGGCCCTTTCCCCATATTTTCAAGTTAATAAACATGGTGGAAAATAATATACAGTGTTTATTGCCAGCACTGTCAAGGAGGACACTGTGCATTCCCCCTCTCCTCCCAAACCCAGGCAGTGTAGGAGAGGCTGCTGTAATTACAGGTCTCCTTGTGCAAGACTGCTTTGAAATTCCCAATATTTCTCCAAACCACCAGCAAGTTGGTTTTCAGAGCTGCCTGACAGAGAATTTATTTATTAAGGTCTTGGCTGTTTGCAGCAGTGGCTGGGCAGCAGCAGTTCCACAGAGTTATCAAAAATCTATTTCCTTGCAGAGTCACAAGTAAAATATCAAACCCCCTTTGAAAAGCCAAGTGCAACATTTACATTTTAATCTCCCCAAACACTTTCCTTTCTGACAAACTGGGTTTTTTGGTCTGTGTGTTATGGAGAGGAAAGGCAGCAGGGATAGAGGAGAAAGGTTTATAGCCCTGGGAGGAAGCGTGGGCTGCTCTGAGTGGCACAGTGACTGCAAGGACCGTCACCCTTCAGCACTGCTGGGGCCGGATGAAAAACAAAAAACCGCCTGGCCCCAAAATCTAGCAATGCAGGGGCATCAAACACCAAGCTGGGTTAGCAATCACATGTACAGGTGTAAAAAAGGGGCAGCACCAGCCCTGTGCTGTGCTGGGCACAGCTTCTGCTGGCTACAAACAGCCCATTGAGGGATCAGCGTGGGACTGGCAGTGCTACTAGCAGCCACTTATCTATAGGGGTAAATAGCTTTTATTCCACTGTTTCTTCACACTTCTGCCTATAGGTTAATTGGGATGAAGTGGAGGGGCCCAGCTCCACAGTCTGCAGTCTGGCAACAAAAGCAGCTCAGCCTTTCCCTTGTTATCAGCGGGGCTGAGGTCCTGCGCTGCTCTGTGGAGCCTCTGCAGCAAACCATGAATTATGGATGGAATGAAAAATCCCAGCCCGGTGCACTGAGGGAATATGCAGAGTGCAGAGTGATCACCTTTGTGTGTGAGCCTTGCTTTGTGCCACCCTCACGTGCATGAGGCCCAAAACACTGGGTTTTGCTTTGGCCTGCCACTCCCTCAGCCCACAGGGTCAGGATTCCCTCCTCCTGAAGGATGCGGGCTCTGAAATGACATTCCTTAATTTGAAAAGCATGTCCTTGTGCTTTGTGGGATCTTCCTGGGAGCTCCTGAGGGTGCTGTGTGGATGAGCTGTGTGGAATTCCCATGCAGAGGTGCAGGCAGCAGGCAGGATGGGTGTCTGGATCCCTGCTCCAGGCATGTTCCTGAGCACATGGACACACACTGCAGGTGGAGTTCCCACCCAGGCTGGCTCTGAGGGCTGAGCCAGGCACAGAGGAGCCCCCAGGGGATCTGCAGTTCCCACCAGAGCTCCCCTTTCTTGAAGCAAAGTGTTGGAAAAGTGCTCAGCAGGCTCTGGCTTCAAGACTCTGTGATTTGGGGAAGCTCAGTCTCTCTACTCATAACTTCTCCTTCAGAGAGAAGCTGCCTTTCAGGAGGCATTTTAAAATGTCTTTTAATTTTTAAATGCTTTAGTTCCTCCCTTGCAAATCCAGCTCTCTGGTTTTGTGCACCATCTAATCATGTGCTTCCACACAGCCATTTCTGAGTGTGCAATATCAACATCTGTGCTAAAACCAAGGAGAAATTTTTCCCTGAAGCAAAATTTTGCTCTGTATTATTGTTACTTTTTTCCCCTATTTAATGATTTGCTTGTCATGGGGCCTCTTCAGCCTCTTATTTCCAGGAAATGAAGGTTCTCTGCCTCTCACTCCTTGTCAAAGACACCCTGGCAGGACAGAGCATCGTCACCCTTCTCCCATCTCCTAAAGCATTTTACTTAGTGCTCACAAAACTGTGCTGCACTCAAGCACCTCACTGAGCTGGGTGCTTGATATGCAGCAGGTTGGCAGAATTAATTTATTGGTGTTTGTACAGCCTTTTGAACTTCTCCTGTTACATAGGTGTCAATAATGATGGTAAAAACAAAAACATTATTTTATTATTATTTTATTGTTATTCTGACTTTCCATCACAGCCAATGATGAACATTCCCCTGTGCAGGTATTAAAGGTATCCAGTGGGAGATGCTTTGTTCTTAATTTTGATTATTTTAAGAAGTCCTTCAACACATCAAATAATCTCCCTAGGCAAGGATTTATAGGAAGGTCTTGAGAGCTGTCAGAGTAATGTTTTTCCAGCAGTGAAAACTCGACCTCCTCTTTGATTTTCATTTCTGTTTTGTCCTGGATGTAGCTGTAGCGAGTGCTCGGTCACAGCCATCAGGACGGAGGAGATGTGTTGTCAGTTGTTTTATTTTTGATCCCATTTGAATGTGTCAGTCAACTGCCTCGAATCAAAGAAAGTGAGAAGGAGCCTTTAACAGTTGTGATTGAAAACTTCAGACTTACCTTTTCTTTTTTATTTTTATAGTCACTAAGTAAATGGTTGGGTCTTGTGAATCATAACATTTCTAAATATATCAAGGAGGCTCTTTGCCAAGCTGCTGGGGAAGGTGGTGTCTATTCCTATTGACTCCTTTCTCCCCTTCAGATTACTTTTGCATTTAATAGTTTCAAATCATAATGCAAGAAATCAGGGACTCTTAACTAGGCTGGCTAAGGCTGTGATTAATGAAAGTGTAATGCAAGCTACTGTACAGCCATTAGAAACCAGTTAGCTAATTAGTGTAATCACAGAGGTGGAAATAATTAAGAGACCATAAAATAGAGGTAACCTAATAAAAACATTTTCCTCTGACCCAGAACTGGTGAGAAAAGGATGGTTTGTTAGGTTAGGAACAGAGAGGAGTGAAGATGGAATGTTCTGTGCGTAATCACTGTCAGAGAGGTCTCAGACAAGTAGAACAGAGCAGATTTTACACCAACATAACCCAGACTGCAGCAGAATCCTCTGGCAATGGTGCTTCACACCTCTGCATCCCTCTCCCATCTCATGCACTGCCACAATTCAGTGACAGACAATCAAGACAGCATGAGGCGGGAGCTGGCTGCCTTGCTCTTTCTTACTTTGTTCCTTTTCTTCTTTCCCAGGTTATTAGTAAATATAATATTAAAACTAACTTCACTTTGCAGTGCCCGAGTGACTGACCAGGTTTGGTTTCAGGAAAAGGAGAAATCAGTGTCCTAAGGTGTTTAATATGAAAATCTTGTTAGAGGATTTATAGAACTCCTAATGTATTCATGTATGTTATTCACTGTAGTTTCACAGGACTCTACAGAGTCTTTCTGGGCACAGAATGGTGCAGTGATCAGTGAGGGTGCCAGTCACTTCCAGAGCTGCTCCCAGGAGCTGGGTGCCAAGCAGATGTGTCTCCCCTTCAACCCTCACCTGCTGTCTTTGCACCCAGCACCCTGGATCCTGAACAACCCCAAAATATGCTCCCCATGCAGGACTGTCCAGGTCAGAGAGAGATGTGGGACAGTGATGGGCTGGATCTCACCCTTGGGGATTAGGAGTGACCTGCCTCTGGCTGCTGGATGAAACAGCTCCATGTACCAGGCAATAAAAATTCCTAACCTGTAATTTTCCAGCTTGAATGGGTCACCACTATGCCCATCTCCATTGGTTCTTAGCATTTCTGCCACGGTTTGTGTGTGTTTCGTTTGACCTGGCTCTAATGAGCAGAGAAGAGGAACAGGAGCTGCAGACACAATCAAGGCTCAGCCGCCAGGGCTGATGAGTCTGCCGAGACTGCTAAGTGGGTCTTCATTAGCTATTCACATTCGAGGAGCAACCCTTGTTTATTCTTCTTTCCTAGGTGAATCTATTTTTGAATATCTTTTGTAGTGATCTTGTCTGGGGAGATTGGATGGAGGGCACCACTACTGCCGGTTAACTGGATTATTGTCCTGGAAAAACAGGCTGTGACACCAAGCTGGCAGCAAACTGCAAAGAAGAAACAATGTGATGCCATTTAGAGAAGGAAGGAATCATTTTCCCCTGTGACATCTCTGGTGGGAGGCAGAACTTTATCTTCTCTTTGCAGCTCAAATGAAGCATCACAGCAGTAGCATTAACTGTGCTTCCACTTTTCCAGCTTGGCTTTCCATTAACTTTTTTCTTCTTTATTTTGTGCTGCAGCAGGGAACACGCTTTCCAGGGAGGGTTTGAGGGTGAGTCCCTGGAGCTGCAAGCCCAGGATGTCCCAGGTGGGTCCCCAGGCTGTGGCACATGTGGTGTTGTTGCAGCCAAATGGATGAGCCTGGTGGTCTGCAGTGAAGAAGGGAAGCCTGATTGATGTCTACCAGCCTGGTGGAGAGGGGATTTTGGAGCAGCAGCTCACGGTGAGCCTTGCTCCAGGCGTGCTTCCATCCCCCAGCTCGGACATGTGGATCCTGGGACATCCTCGCAGAAGGGACAGCGCTTGACCTCCGGCAGCACCCGTGGCTTCATGTCTCATATGAACATGAAGTCTCTTTTCCACACGGGGTGCTCAAACGCTCTCCTTTAAGCTTTCCCTCGGGCTGGGCCGGGCCGGTGGGGTGCGGATCTCACCTGCCTGTGGCCAAGGCTGCCCTCTCCCGACGCGCCGGCATCCGAGGGATGCGCTGGCTGAGCCGGGCCAGCATCCCCGGGCAGCGCACCCTGCTCCCTGCACCGAAGTTAAAAAAAAGTTAATTTACTTTAACTGCAGCACTTCCCAGCTCCTGAGACTTCCCAAGGTTTTGCTGAGCCTGGGTTTATTTAGGAATTATATAGCTGCAGAAGCAGTTTCTCTCAGCCCAGCGCTGTCCTGCCCCATCAGCACAGCCCAGCACAGCCTCGGGCATCCCCCGAGGTGCCCAACCCCATCACCGCCTGCCTCTGATGCTGGATCCAACCTGCATCCCCCTCTGGCATCACGGGGATGCTGCATAAGGATCCTCCTGCTGATTTCCCTTTTACCTGATCGATCCCAGCCCTTCCAAACCTGCCCTGTACCTTCTTCCTTTTCGTTTCGTTTTTCTAATCTGGCAGTGTAGGTGTGAAACCCATACTCCTCTGAGTTATCTTTTCCCAGCTGAGTCAGTTTGTGCTGCAGACTGTGTGGGTGACACCCTCTGCAAAGCCACGTTTAGCAGCACGTTGCTCCAGGAAAGTGTTTTTATATGAACAGAGATGTGAGACAAACTCTTGCACCTCTGGGGCTGGCAAACAACTGATCCATGAGAGATGACTCTTTTTTTTCCCTTTGTGATTTTGACCTTATTTGCTGAAAGTGAAACATCATCCAGCCCTCCAGGAAATACCACAAATCTTCTATCTGACATGAGAACATAAATCTTCTGTAAGGGTTCATCCATTCTGCATCTCAGGTCTCTGGAACCGAGTTGTGGACACTGGAGTGGGAATCTCAGCCTCCTGAATCCAGGGCTGCTGAACCTGAGCCCCTGCACCTCCCCAACCTGGGGAAAAACATCTCCATGGGGTTGTTGTTTACTGAGCACCAGTTCCTCCTGGAAAAAAAAGGAGGGGGGAATTTGCCTGAATCACCTTGAGCCTCTTAAATTTTTGTGGGAGACATGAAACCCTTCCCCTCCAGCTGGGTGTATGTGTCTGAAATGAAGCACAGCTTTACAGCCCAGAGTAACCCACTTCCCATGGTTCAGCCTCCCCCAGTCACTCCTAGGAGAGGTTTGCAGTGCAGAGGTTTTGGGCTCTGCACCCCATGCTCAGCAGGGCAGCCCCAGCCCACACCTCTGAGAGCACATTTCCTGAGAGGATGCCTGTGGCTCCCTGACCCTGCCTGTGCACCAGCCTTTGTGGGCTGTGTCCCCACCCTGCTTTCTGGGGGACCACAGAGGCCTTTCTGAGAAAGCAGTGCAGCAGCCCTGGGGCTCGCATGTGGTTATTTGACTACAACCGGTTATTCGCGGTTGCAAAATTTTCCACCTCTCGTTCACCATGAATGGTTCAGGAGGTTCTTTTGCTCAATAAGTTCATGTTTTTACTTTTGCTCCCCCTGGGCTGTATCCCTCAGTGTGCAAACTTCTTTGCTTCATGGTTTTTTCCCAGAGTAGGAGCACCCCAAACCCAACTGGACCCGGGGAAGGACTCAGAGCCATCTCTGCACTTTGCTGTGTGTCCCTCTGGATCAGCTCAGTGACATTCCCAGCCCTCAGCCTGCTGGGGATTATGGCTTTAGCTGAGCCTGCAATGACACCCTTCCAAAGGCTCCAAACAGCAAAAGTTTATTTTTTTCTGCCTGGACCACTTTTCCTTGTTTTACCACTAGATGGGAGAGTGAGACTGGGCTAACAGCTGCTCCCCTCCTTATCCCGGCAGGAATTCCGAGGGGAGAACCGAGAGATGCCTGAAGGTCATCCAGCAAATCCTCCCACCTCAGCCTCGGGTAACGCCCAAAATGGGCAGCTGTTGCTTAACCCCAAAAGTGCACTGTTAGAGGGCACTAAGGCTTGCCTGGTGCTTTCCAAAATACCAGGAACCCCGTGGTTGCCTTCATGGAAGGGGAATTCACTTACACAAAGTCTGGATATAATTCTTGAAGTGAAACACTTCATATTTTTCCTAAAATCCACCTGTCCTAGAGCAAAGGGAGATAAGGGAAGCACTTGCAATTCGTCCCTCTCATCTGTACCCCAAATCCTACTTCCCAGGAATCCAGGTGACCCCAAAATTGTTTGGAGAGGTTAAAAAGTCAAACAACCACAGAATGGTTGGGGCTGGAATTGTCCTTTGGAGTTCATCTGTCCAACACCCAACAGGTAAATATAAATAAAGCAGCATTTTCTCCTCTTTTACTTCTACAGGATTTTCTTTCTCCTATAGGATTCTTGAGTAAGGATCTTCCCAGTGATACCATTTTCCTGCAGAAAATAAAACTGAGCTGTTGCAATGATTGCATGTGCAGGAGGAGAATTCATGCCTTGGTCTGACACCACTCACCTCGGGAGCTGCTGTGGGCGAGGGAGGGGCAGCCCCTGGTTCATTAATGTCTTGGTAAATTTACTTTAACTGCAGCACTTCCCAGCTCCTGAGACTTCCCAAGGTTCTGCTGAGACTGGGCTTATTTAGGAATTACATAGCTGCAAAAGCAGTTTCTCAACCCAATCAGATTGTCCAGTTGGGCTATTTTTATTATTGTTAGGTTTGGGGCTTTAAAAAGGAACATCTTGCTTCCTGGGATTTTCACAGATTTTGCAAGAAACCTCACAGTAGACAATTTTTCCAACTGCTTGTGTGACTACATCAGAAGATGCAATTCCTGTAGAGGGGAAATATTCTTTTTGGAGGGTTTTGCCCTCCACCCAACCTTCTTAATTTGCAAGTTCTCTAAAGAAGTGACTCATCTTTATTTGTTTAATGCCTGGCATAGTTGGGCAATTGGATGAAATAATTCTAATTACTTCCCTAACTGCAGTACCCTTGTTGCCTCCGTTGGGGTCTCCTGACTTTGCCAGCACAGGAAATATCTGACATTATCCTGCCAGACAGAAATAACAGCTTCTGTAGAAGACAAACTCTGGGTTTTTACTGGATCGATCTACTCTTATTTTCCATAAGCTACAGCCACCCCACCCTGGATGTGCAACGAGGCCACTGAGTCACCATGAAGGAGTGACCAGCTCATTCACCTCCCAAGGGAAAACCAAAAAATCCCCTCCAGAGAAAAGAGGAGACATCTTCCTTCAGTTGATAATTAGAGGTGAAAAAAAACAAAACAAAACAAAAAAAAAATAGACATTCCAGCCTTGGATTTTTAAAATCAGGCAGAACTGGTGTGATCAAGACCTTATCTCAGATAGTGATAGAATTAGCCTCGTGATTTCTTCTCCATGTTTACAGGGATAATATTTTTCCAAAGTTCAAAGTCTTCCTCTGCAGGAAGCATGTGATTTGTAGTCACACCATATTTTGGTGCTATGAACAATTAAAAAAATCAATTTCTGGAGCGATATTTTCTATGTTTATAATCTCTGAACTAATTACAGGACTGGAAAATCGATAGCTATCTGGAAATCTTTCCAATACAGCCAACTAAGCATGCTGGAGATCATGCTGGAATATATTCTTCCCAAACACATGCTGCTCCTGACCATCTCTGAGATCCCAGATGATATCACTGTCGGTAAACCCCTGTACCTCATTGCACTGCAGCAGCAGCATTTACCAAAATCTGCAGGGGGCATTGGGCTGGGAAAATTGCTGAGAGCTGGAGCAATGCTTGTGCCAGCTTTTTAAGCCAATGACAAAATTTTGAAAGACTGAATTAGTTCAACAGAAATCTAAAAAAACTATTATGAAATAAAGTAATTACAAGTCCACGTCTTAGTTATAATGTTGGCTTTTTTCATCGAGCTTTATTAAAATAAAAAGTAGAACCTTTGGTGACTGAAAATAACCTCCTTCTCTGGTTTCCTAGCAAGAGAGAAGCAGAGTTAAATGGGCAGTTTGATGGTGATTACATTCAGAAACACACGTAAAGAGGAAGGGTGTTGCTCTGATGAACAGATCTCCTCTTGCTGTACAAACACACTCTGTTGACTGTGGCAAATGAGCTGGAAACAGAGCTCAGACCCTTGTGCTGGTGCTCTCCACCACTTCCCACACACTGCAGGCATTGCCAGGATCCTCTCCAAGATGCTGCCGCCTCCCTTGTGCCCTGTGAGAGCTCAGTGTGCTCCTCCTTGTGTGCTGGAGCTTCTGCTGCTAAATAAGGATTAAACATTCCCACTGGACACTGTGCCAGCAGCACAGGGAGAGGATAAGGAGCACAGACCTGGTGCAGGGGATTTTCCCCACACTTCCATCTGCTTGGTACAAGAATGTGATGAATTCTGAGCTGTCACAGTGCCACAAAGTGCTTGCTCTGATTTTACGTGTTTTTCTCTGATTATTCTTCATAGCTGGTTCCCTCCAGTGAACTGAACAGAGGAAAAGCAGGACTGGGGCACATCTCTGCCCTCACTGCCTCCCCAAGCTGGGGGATTCTCATAGTTCCCCAAGGGGGTGATCCTCATCCTGGACTCCCACAGGGAGGGATCCTCATCCTGGATTCCCACAGCTCCCCAAGGGGGGGATCCTCATCCTGGATTCCCACAGCTCCCCAAGGAGGGATCCCCATCCTGGATTCCCAGAGTTCCCCAAGGAGGGGATCCTCATCCTGGATTCCCACAGCTCCCCATGGGGGTGATCCTCATCCTGGAGAGTATTTTTGTGTCTAGCAGCCCATGGAGGTAAGGTGCAGCATGTACCTTGTCTCATCTCAGGAGACAAGCCATGATTTATAGTCCTTCCTAAATAAGAACTTGGGAGGTTGGTTATGCTCAAAGAATTTAAATTTTGGAGGGGAATACAACTCATGCAATGATGTGGATTGTAAATATTGTTATTATTAATTTCTGTTTGCACTTCTGTAGCACTCCCACGTGCAGCTGAGGAGCTCCTGTGCACACTGGGACAGAGGAAGGAGCCCTGGAGCTGCTGACAGCAGGCCCAGACCTGAGAGGGGCCAGGGGTGATGATGGCAATAGCACCCAGAGCACACCAGTGGTGTGGCTTTGCTGATCTGGGCTGCTTTCTGCCAAAAGACAAGTTCCTAAAGCATTGTGTTCATCACCAGCATAGTGAAAATCTCCCTTTCAACTGCTGAGGCTGAAATGTCCTTGGTGGGGATGCAGAGCTGCCAGGTGCCATGCTCTGCTCAGACTCTGCTGCACTCAGCTTTAATGTGTGCTCCCCTCAGATGATGGACTTTGGACTCTGCTATCACTCTTGACAGTTTAATGTCATATTTCCTTCCAATAAAACTCAGCCAGAGTGTGAGAACTCACGTCTGTTTCTCTCTTAGGAAAGGAAGGCTGCAGTGTCTGCACATTGCTTGAAGGGAAGGACCTGAGGAAAAAGAGCTCAGACCCTTCAGAAATCTTTCAAAGAGAAGCTCCAGCTCTCCTTTATCTCTTTTAAAATTAACACATCATACTTTGCACATGTTGAGCAAGAAAGTTCCTAATATATCTTCCCATAACCCCCAGGCCCAGTGGGACAGTGCTGTTATTTTACAAAGAGGGTGAGGGCAGAACACTCACTCCCCTGGCCAGGGACAACCAGCACCTCAGGGACACCCTGAACTAGAGGTTTGCACAGAGATTATGGGGTTTAACAGCCACCAAAGCACGTGTCACCCATGAATTTGTATAATTCTTCCTTAAACACAGTCACACTTTCAGCTCTGTGATGCCTCTGCCACCAGATGCTATTGTTTAATCAGTGGCTACTTCAAACCTCCTACCTCACCCTTACATTTACAGGAACCTTTGCTCTTGTAATAATGAAGGAACATTGCAATAATGCAGCTGTTGTAATAATGCAGCTCACGGACCTGAGCAGGACAGATTCTGATGGTCCAGTTTGCAAAGACAACAGGGTCTCACACCAGGATAACACAAAATCTGGTAAAATCTTGGGGGGGTTTTCAGAAGTGCTAATCTCACTGTTTTTATAATAGAATAAATTTATATTATATAAATAATATAAATAATATATTATAAGCATAATAATATATTACAAGCAAATAATATAAGCATAAAACATAATATATATGCTTTATACATATAATAAATTTGCTATTTATTATATGTTTCCTGGTAACTAATTTCTGGCTCAAATTAGACTTACAATGAAACACTAAAAATTCTGCTTTTGAAAAAAAAAAAATCCTGATCTGTTCTTCCTTCCTGGAGATTCTCTGCTTTTTCTGCAACAGGAGATGGGAATTATGGAAGTATTAATAACAGCAGTATTAGGAAATGATCATTCAGGCACCAGAAATCTGTATGAGATATTATGGCTTTAAATAAATTGTTCATTGCTATGAAAATCTAATCTTGTAAATACATGCACACTTAACTATATTAAAAATGTAAATGCTCCCAGACCTGGACTTCACATGATGAATAAACAACTCCCCTTTTTTGCCTTGTCAGCTCTTTTGTCTCAGAAAAACAAGATTTGATGGTCACTGAAAAAGTTGATGTCTGCACAGATTTAGCCAAAAGATGGTCATGATCATCTCAGGGCCCATGTGGCTCACAGGATTGAACTTGAAGAAATCTCCTTCAACATCTGCTCATGACAGAGCAATTCCAGCTCCAGGAGTGCCTGCAGCCAGTCACTTCCCTTCCGTGGCCCTGAATTTGCATTCATTAAACCCAGAGTTTTAATGATTTATGGAGATTTATAAAAAATGGCAGCCCAGAGCTGCTGACACTCCCAAAGCTTCTGACAGGAGTATAACACATCATAAATCCATCCTGCTGTGAAATATTGAATGAAAACTGGTGCAGGCATATCTGCAAGTGTTAACATGACCCATTAAAATCAGGGATTTAGGCTAACTAAAATTATCAGTGTGCCCCAAACCCAAGGAGAAAACAAATCTAGTAACAATAATATAATAATTATAATGTTTGTAATAACACTCCTAATAGAGTTACCAGTCTCCTTGTCATTGTTTATTGTTGTCACTGCCCTGATAATTCTCAGCTCCAAGGATGGACAGAGGCAGGCAGGGCCCCATGCTTTGAGAAACAACCTCTGTGCTTTGGGAAACCAAAATCCATAGGAATTCCAGCTTCTCCTATCCCAAGATCTTTGGGATAAGCCTTTGGGAAGGAGCTTTCTGCCACTCACACAGCAAGGTGTGCACTGGCTCATGCTGAGCCGCAGGGTTGGGGAAACTGGAGTTTAAACAAACATGCCCCAGGGACAGACTCCTTTTTATTTACAAGTGAATCAGCAGAGATGGCAAAGCTGATTTGCAATGCCTGCCCAGCATCTCTTAAAGATTTTAGTAGGAGGCAGACTTCTACCAGACCTCTGTCCTGCCTTGCCACATCATCCCCCTTGGTTATCTTATCACAGTTGCTATTACCTCACGCAAATCCACAGCACAAGCTTCTTATCTTTACATCTTCCTCTCACAACAGCTAACCTACTTCAATATGCTGAACAAAAAAAAAAAAATCACTAAAAACCTAAGTAAAAAATTTACTCTGCCCCTCTGAGGACAATTTCAGCCAAGCCAGAATGGACCAAAATACACGTGGAGAAGTGAGCTGAGCTGAGGAGCAGGATGCATCCCTCTGCAGCCAGAGCAAATTATTCACTCAGCTCTGCACTGTGGAACAGGAAATGTGGGGGCATTGCCCAGCTCAGATGCCTTTGATGCACTGCTTCACCTTTGCACATTTTATTGTCCTTTCCACCCTGCTTATTTAGAATAAAAAGGGTTTGAAACAGGGCCTTATTCATCAGCAACTGCACAGCACCAGCCAAAACAATACCCCAGCTTTGTTGTGCAAGAAATGATTTGCATATAATAAAGCAATATCAGTTTGCATACATGGAGCAAATGTTTCCCAGTTTTCCTGGCCACAGCCTGCTGTAAACAACAGGCTCTCTTACTCTTCATTTTACTTTAAAAGCAGATTCAACAGCTCCTAATTCAACCAAACCCCACAAGGACCCCATCTACCTCCTGCTCCAAGGGGAGCAAGGATGGCACAAAGAGGCAGCACCTTCCAGTTCCATCTTGGAGCCACAGAGGATGAGGAAGAGGAATGATTTGAACAGCACATCACCACAGCCCATGATGAGCTTAGATGGGCTGCTGGGTCTGCTTCTGCCCCAGCCTGTGCCCCAGCTCTGGGTTCCTTGCTGTCCTTGGACACTGCTGTCCCTGCACACAGAGGGGATGGCAGCTGATGTCAGGCGTCTGCCCAAGTCCTTGCCCTCCTCTCTGCCTCATGCAGCATTAGCTGGGCTTTTCCATTACCAGGCTATCCTGTGCACTCTGGGAAATGGAGCGCTGATTGCACTCCAGGAGCTAAACATGCAGGCCCTGAATTATTTATCCGTGAGCGTGCAGAAACGAGCCAAATCCCCAAGTGATGTGGAGCAGCTCTTGGAAGAAATGTAAAAAGGGATGCAAAGGCTGCAGGGTGGGCATGGGGAGCTGCATGGTCAGAGCCTCACACGTGCACATCACATCTCTGGGACTCTTCCTGCCCAGGTGGTTTATGCACTGCAGGGTGTGGAGGGTTCAGGTGTCGGATCTGATCCAGAGACACTTCTGTGAAACTGCTCAAGAGCCACCTCTGTGCCTCAAACCAACCACTGTGACAGCGAGTCCCCAAAAAGCAAAGAAAAACGCCCAAACAAACGTGTTTATGCAAATGCAGGGGATTTGGGGTGTCCCACAGCTTTCCTGCTCAGCTCCCTCAAATCTGGAGCGGCTAACTCTGCAATCATTAACTCAGCCATGCCCAGCCTGCCATGCAGACAGTGCCACGACAGCCGTGTTTATCCGGGCTCAATAATGCCCTGCATCGGCTCCCCCACTTTCCCTTCTGCACCAGCAATAGGCGGAGGAAAGAGCAAAGTCCTGTCGCTGCTCTCTGCCGCCAAACACGCGGGTGCAGCACTGATTTCCCCTCGCTCTGGGGCACAGATTCATCCCAGAATTTCTCCATGAGCCCTGCAAGGGTGCAGGGATGCTGGGATGGCCCCGGACAAGGATGGGCAGCCCGAGGGGGGCTGCGAGCCTGCAGGTGCGCATGGGGCCGGGAAATGAGCAGGGTTAATGTGATACCGAAACCCTGCCCCTGCTCTTTCCTCACCCCCTTCTCGCTCCCCCATCCCTCTCCTCCTTTCCTTGCCCCAGACACAGAACCCTCTCCCCAGCTCCCATCCCCGTCGCTCTCCCCGCATCCCTCCCGTCCCTCTCGCCATTGGCCCGGCGGGCGGCGGCAGTGCCGGCGATTGGAGCGGCTGTCTGTCAGTCTGTCAGGGCTCCGCCCGCCCCGGCCCGGCCCAGCGCTCAGTGCCGAGCGGAGGCGGCGAAGCGCGGGCAGCGGCGGCGGCAGCAGCAGGTACCGGGCACCGGGCACCGCACTGGGCATCGCAGCGGGCACTACAGCGGGCACGGGGTGCGGGGAGAGATGAGAGACCGGGGCATGGCCGGCAGAGCCTCCCCAGCCTGGGCAGGACCTGCCGGGCGGTGCCCACGCGGCTGCGGGGGAGCCCCGAGGGCGCGGGGATGGGGATGGGGATGCGGAGCTCACGGGGGGCTCAGCCCCGCTCTGGGAGCTTTTGGTGGCTGGGAACAGCCCGGTGGATATCACGAGGGGAGAGTGACCGAAATGGCCCCAAATCATTGAGGTTTTCCGCTTTGCGATGGTCTGAGAGGATGCTGCAAGGCTGCGTTGCTGCCTGGAGCAGTGCTCGGACTGAATCATTGCGGTTTGGGGTTTTCTTTGTAGCGTGACCGTGTCTTGCTATAGAAAATTTAAAAGATGCTCATTTCCTTTAGAAGTAGGGGAAGGTAGTAAAGTGGCATGGCGGGATCCTTAGTACAAGAAAAAAATGTTACGTTAAGGATAAACTAATCAGTTTCACAGGCGCCGAACTGAAGTTGGTAGCGGGCAGGATGCTGGGTGGAATTAGAGCACTTTAGTTACTTGCCCTATATTACTTTTATAACCCATTTGTTCACAATATACAAATCAAAAGCTGCTGTAATAAAACCATGTTTTTCAGCTCTGAGAGCCTTAAAAGCACAAGTGGACCTTAATCACATGAGTTTGTTGCATTAAGATTTTATTACCATTTTATAGTCTGTTTGATTTTACCAAGCAACACACTACAAACCTGAAGTTATCCCTGCCTGGCACCTCTTTTTATATATATATATATATATTTCTGGGCTCCTGCTTTCTGTAGTGCCACTTGGTTGTAAAAACAGACACTAAAATAGCATTTGAGGCAGAAATAATCACAAAGGAGATCTTCAGAAAAGTGTGTCAGAGTTCTTGTAAACGTGAGAAAGGTTGAAGCTGGGGGTGGAACGAGTTACTCAAATAATGAAAAGGGAAAAAAAAATGTAGCTATTTATATGCAAAGACGTCTGGCTTGCAAACTGCCAAAAGTGGTCGGAAACAGAAGCAGCAGCTCTGTGCCCTGGGCGGGCTGGGGGGACAGATCAGAGCCACCTGCCCTGCCAGGGCTCCATCAGAGCCCTGCAGTGAGTGATGAGGGGCTCCGGTGTCACAGGAGCCACCTGGAGCCCTGGGAAGCGGCCACTCCTCTGACAGTCCCTTCAGTTCTCCTGCCCGTGGGGCAAACCGGCTCGGTGACAGTGGCAGGAGCAGGAAGTGTGACCCTGGGATGAGAGATGAGCCGGGGAAGCAGCGATTCCTCCTTGGAGTGGACATTCTTGGCCAGCGACACCAGGAACTACCTGAGCAAGCACTCGCTGGAAGTCTTTACAGAGATTAGAGATTTGCAGGCACGGGGGAAGATGGGATCAGCCACTAACAAAAGAAATACCCACCGGCTTAGGGAGATCAGCATCCAGCTGCTCGGTGCCTCATGACTGCAAACTCCTCCAGGCAGTTTTAATCTTTTTGTGTGTGTGTGACTTTGCAGCACGGAACATGCTGGGGAGGATCCTGCCCTCACATTTTGGGCTTTACACCCTGCAGTAGCAGGGAATCATTGCTCTGTTTTATGCTGCTCATTTTGCTCAGTCCACCCCAAAAAGCATCGCTGAGGACTTATTTTACCTTTCTTTATTTTAATTGGGTGTGCCAAGCCCGGAATCCTGACTTTGCATGCATGAAGGTGCTAATGTGGTCACCATACATTCTGCTTTACCATTTGGGTTTTTTGTCTTCCTCATGTGTTCCTTGAGGTATTGCCTGTAAGTTGATTATTCAGAGCCTGGGACATTTGTATCTTGCATAATCACAGTGAATGGTGGAAAAGTTTTGCAAGACTCTGCACCCACGGAACAGAGTTGGCAGCTTTTTCCTGGTGGGTTAGTGAGATGCTGGGTATGATTTCAGGGGAGAGATTCCCCCTTTGGATTTTGTGCTTAATGAATTGAAGTCACTGTGTTAAGGCAACAGAGTTATCAACCATGCACAGGCTGTTATAGGGGTGAGCAGCCCTGAAATGCATTGGCCTGGGTTTCTCTGGCCACCTTGAAGGGTGCTGTGCTTCCCCAGCACAGTTAAAAAGTGCATTGTCTTGGTCTGGTGAGGGGCTTATCCTTGTGCAGAGGAGCAGAATTTGGTAGCTGGAGCAGCCCAGAGCAAGGCCCAGGCAGGATCAGGGGCTTTGTCCACAGTCAGTGGCAGCGTGGCTCTCCCTGCACCTGCGCCCAGCTATCCCAGCCCTGTGTGCCTGTGGGATTCCTCTCCTGCAGCCACTCTCCTTTCCCTTTTCAACCCTGATTTGTTCCTAGAGCTCCCCACCACAGGATTAGTTTTGTTCCATCTTGGCCCTGAGTGACCCGGTGGCGTGCGAGCCGCTGGACGCGGGGCTGGAGAACAAAGAGTTCCTGCACGCATGGTCTGGGGAACACGCTCCCACAGAGCCACAGACTTATCTGCTCCGTGAATCCCACACAAAACCATCCGCCCCACTTCAGCAGATGGGATAAGTGATTGTAGGCAAGTGCTCAGGGAGAGCCACTAACTTCAGTGGATTTTATGTCGGAGCTCTCTCGAGTGCAGAGGAGAGCGTGTGATGAGGCAGTGAAGTGTTTATTATTAGCAGAGCAGTGTTGTTCTAACCTTAAATCTCTCTTCAGGCAGAAGTACCCCTGAACCTGGGCTTCTGCAATGTTGCTGCTGCCAGAAATAGTGTCAATTCCACCTCTAGATTGTAAATGAGCTTGAGCAGTGGGCATATGTTAGCACTGGGAAATACTCTGTTTATCCTGAAAGTGCTGAGCAGCAGCTCTTGAAATTCCTGGAGCAGTGACGTCCCCTTTATTCACTTGTGCTACTTCACTGACATCTCTAGAGTTACAATAAAACTGAATTTAATTGCTATTGTTAATGGCATATTGCTGTATGGCATCTATAATCTTCAGTCACTGGAGCTCCCAGAGCTTGGCTTGGTTGCTTCAAAAAGAAAAATGAAATGCTAACAAGCTTTGTCTAACTGTGGCTGGTGGTTTGAAGGAGTTAGGGAGTCATTTCTATGTTGAGAAAGCAGGATCAAACACTTTTTCCCCTAAAAAATACTTTGATTTTGTAATATTCTGGCTGAACAAAAAATCCAAGAAAAAAATACTTTTATCACTTTTATAGCTTCATATTTGTCAGTTCAAGTGCTTTGGATATCCTCTGTGATAGGAATTTATTTTTTGGGATGGGATTAAGAGAGGAAAAAAATAACATTTAGATTTTAGAGTTTTGATAAATGGTAGCAACCCATGACACAGAAATAAAAAGTCCCCAAAATATCTGAAGGCCTTGAGCTCTTTTAGACTTTTCTTGTCTCCTAGCCTCTCCTTGAAAAACTGCATCAATCTTTTTAGCTTGCCATATTCCAAATAAATCAGGTTTGAAATTATAATTCAATATTATTCTGCTTTAAAAGCCCAGTAGGAAACAGAATCTCAGCCAGTCAGATGAAGGATGTGGCAGCCTGCGGGGCCTGTGGTGCTTGCAGGGTGTGTGCACTCACCTCTGAACATCTCTATCTCTGTCCCTTGGTGTGGATGTTGATGTGTGTGTGTAGAACTGCTGTTTCATACTGAGCTGGGCCTCTCAATGCTGAAGGGTATGGCTCAGCATTTTTCCACCTCTCAGAGGAGTTGGTGGACTCTCACCTCTTCTTATCAGAGGAGATTTTTATTTATTTATTTATTTAGAGGCATCCAGCCATGGGAGAAGCCAGCAGCCACGGACAACACAGCCAGGATGCACCTGCCCTTTTACAACCCCTTATGTTTTGTGGGCATCATGCTTGAGATGTTCAGGCCTTTCTGCATGAGATGTTGCTGCACCCTCTGTTGGAACTTGCAGTACAAGGAGCTGCCTTTGGAAGGAATCTGAGGTTTCTAAGGGAGGGAGCATTCCAGGTTGGCTTCTTCCCACCCATCCTTGGTGGCAGTGGCCACTGTGCTGATCTTGTGCTCTGCCCCAGTTCTCCTTTGGTTTTAGTTCCTGCCCTTCATTTCATAGCTGCTCTGATTCTTGGTTGTGGGATTTTGAGTCAGAGAATGAAGATAAGTCATCCATTTGAAAGTATTCATCATTTCCTCTCAATGACACTAATAGGGATCTGCCCTCTTCAGAGAAATCCCCCAATGTACCACAGCCTGGCAAGATCTAGGGGATTGCATGAGCAAATGCAAATTATCTGCAAGATGACATTCTGTTTATCTAAAAGCATGAAATAAAATGAAGTGTGATGCCTGTTTAGGTCATTTTTAGGGGATGGGTGGGGAGTACTTGGTATCAGGAAACCTAGAGGCTGCAGATGCCATGTCAGAAGTCTTACAGCCATGGGAGCCTGTGCCAATGCTGGACCAAATTCCCTGTGCCACATCAGATTTGTGCTGAATGGGTTAATTTTGCACCATCTGGCTTTGTGCTAGATCAAATATTGTTTCTGTTGTGGTAGCCAACACGAGGCCAGGATAAGCTGGGACTAATATCCTCAGCTAATCCAACAGAAATATGATTGTGTACCTGTTCCTTCTCCAGATCATATCTGCAATAATGGGTGATTTAGCAACACAAAATAATCCTTGTGGAGACAGGGAGAGGACTGAGGGTGGAACACTTCTGCTGGGAATACAGGCTCTCACAGCTGGGGTTGTTCAGCCTGGAGAAGGTATGGCTCTGGGAAGACTTTAGAGCCCCTTCCAGTGCCTAAAGGAAGCTGGAGAAGGAATTTTTACTGGGGCACAGAGTGATAGACAAGTGGGGAGTAGCTTCAAACTGAAAGAAAGCAGTTTTGAAAGAAATTATTCCATGTGAGGGTGGTGAGGCCCTGGCACAGGTTACCCAGGGAAGCTGAGGCTGCCCCTGCATCCCTGGAAGTGTCCAATGCCAGGTTGGATGGGGCTTGG